TCCCCTCGCCCGGCATCGGTCGACGCCAGCGCCACTGGCGGATCTTCCAGAACTACGAATGTGCCGTCTTTCCGCGGCCGTCTTTTAGCCCGCTACCGGCCGGAGAGCCTACACCGTATTAACTACATCGTGGGTAATTCATAGGGGAGTAAATATTGGGGAAAACATTATGTAAGGAGTTATCAAATATAAAAGTGGTAGGGTACATACATCCTCAAAACCACCCCATTCCAAGTCATAATATCACTTTATGTTTTTGAAAATAAATAGAAATTTGACTGTTTGACTGTACATGCAAGTTATGACAAATCCCTTCTAAGTTATTGATGTTAGCTTATGGATCCAATAACACACCTATGAAAAGATCTATAAGACTAGACTCAGAAGTAGTTGAATATACTTTCCGGCACACTCTGAAATGACTCCGAACGTGTCCGCAATGATTTCGCTATAATTACTGATAGAAAGGAAGCAGCTTGTGAAGTACAACAAAACAACGAAATAAATGTTGCTTTTTTTGTTTTTTGTTTTTTTTGCATGGTAGTGTTCACATTTTATTAATGATGTGCCACCATAAAATAAGCCCACTCTTCTGCTTAGAAGAACATTTTGAACCGACGGCATACTTCTCAGAGAAAAGTGTACTCCTGAAAAAAGTTAAAATATTTCTGTTTTGGGCATTTTAGTAAGAATAATTCCCTTTTGTCAGTAAACAGTGAAAGCCAAACGGACGACATTTTAGCCCAGAGGGTTCTTCTTTCAAGCCTTTGGAAACCAATTTTTTCTTTAAATGATGTATTTATTCCTTAACAACTTTTGTGAGAGAAACTCCCTCTAGCGCCTAGACGGTGAGAGAGCCAAACGGACCACCAAATATTTTCTAAAATGAATAGATCTATTTTTGGGCCACTTCTGTGAGAGAAACTCCCTCTAGCTCCTAAACGGGGAGAGATAGAGACGAACAGACGAAATTTTCGATCACAGGGGTCTATTTTCACACGTTAACCCTTAGGAGACAATTAAAAAAAAAAATATTTTTCTTACTTCTTGGACCAACCCCTAATTCTTTGTTACCGCCTGAGACCCTCTCAGGGGTGGTTGCGAGGATTTGCACCAACCGTTTCGTTGTCCAGAAGTGACAACAATAGAACCCTGAAAATTTCAGAACTCTAGCTCACGTCCTTTTTGGGGAACGGACAGACGGACAGACATACAGAGGGGCGATGGCATAAGCCCGCTTATATAGCTTTTAAGCAAAAGAGCGGGCTAAAAATAAGTGTTGGATTTCTATACCAAAAAACCTAAGATTCGATTGGTGCTACAACAAGCACGCCCGCACCTCGGCCAAACGAAAATGCCAGCCTCACTTTACTTCTCAGAAGGAGCAAAAGTTGTACGGCCGCATTACCCCCTGAAAGCCTGAGAAAATAATCAACTGAATATTGATCCCTACCGAACAGAGTTGCCTGTGATCTAATTGAAGCTTGACATTCGTTAGCCTCAAGCACGGGCCTACTTGTAAGCACTTCGGCGAGCAGAAAGAAATAGCAGTGAGTCGGACGTTAAGAGTAGCCTTCGGAAAATCTGAAAAGTAGCTGGAAAGAAGAAAACTTTAAATGAATACGACGCTTCGTACTGCGTTATCCCAATCATTGTACCTATACACTGTAAATATTGCGTACGAAGAACAAGGATTGTACTTCAAACCAAAACCTTCTTAGCTTTCTAAGGATTTTGACGGGTTGTATTACGAATTAATTCTACGTAAGCTTTACCAACAATAAATAGTTCGTAAATCAAACCGGTTGTTCGTGAGTGCCTCCCTATCCTCTCAAATAATTGCTTTTTAACACAATTTCTTATTAATACAAACATTGAAAATAGTTTCTTAACGTTGCAAAGCATGGTGCTCGAAAGAACTTTAGTGCAGTGTACCTTATCAGAGTGGCGCCGTATGGTTCAGGGTTCAGCCCTTCTTCGACGGTGCGTCTCTGAGAGAATCATCCCCCCCCCCCCACCATTTCCCTCTTAGTCGTAGAGTCCAGCGTAACTGGCTGTACGAGGCAGCGTGCTTCCTCAGGCAGAGGGGAGGTGGGTGGGTAAGTCGTGTATCGTTTATTCCTTGGTTGTAGTAGTGCGCTCCTGGTACCATTTTAGACGAAAACTGCCGTAATTTTTTTTTATACTTTTATCCTGGAACGTTTGGATGACCCTACTCGCCTTTTATTCTGACTTGCTTTAAAAAACTCAGCTTTGTGCAAAGTATTTTTTTCTTGACTACACACGCAATTTTACGGCTGTTAAGTGAACAATTTAATAAACTTTAAGCGTTGTCGGTTTTCCAGAAAGTAAATATTGTCGGAATGGTATAAAGGTTACTTATTTACAGCAGCATAAAAAACAATTTATATCACCAAAACCAGCAGAGATAGAGACTGCTCTTTAAAATTTTATCCCAAAGCTGCGTATAATTGCGCATTTAGCCAAGAAAAAGACGCAAAAAACTGACATTTTTAAAACCACTTCTCATTGCAAGTCAGCATAACAGGCGAGGTAGGGTTATGAAAACGGTTGAGGACAAAAATATAAAACATGTTACAACAGTTTTCCTCTAAAATGGCACCAAGGATAGCACTATTTTAACCAAAGGATCGAAAATAAGCGTTATATGATTCACCTTAGTGGGTATGCTAGACACACCTCCCCTCCGTCAGTGCGCTGAGCGCGGGGAAAGTTTGAGTTTAAAAAAGTCATTCTTATTGTCACTTAACCTAGTTTAGGTGCAGACAAGTAAGTTTACAGTTTTCTAAATTGTTCACTGGTAAAACAAAGGCGCTACACAACGCCTTTCCTGGGGCGCTAAAATCAAAGCCTCATTTTCACGCCTTTCCTGGGGTTCTAAACCTTAGCGCCTCAGGAAAGGCGGTAAATTATTGGTGGAGTTCAGAGGTTAGCGCCTTTGATAATTCTCGCTCCATATAATTTATTATTTTA